CAGGGTATATAAGCTAATGCATGAACCTTGGTTACTGTGTAAGGATTTGCCCTGTGAATGGAAGGGTAGCTTAGGGGAAGTCTGCAGATAAACACTTGCTTGGGAAAAGAGCCATTTGAAAAATGCAAACCTATTTTTCTAAAAAAAAAAAAAAAAAAAAAATTCAAAATTTTCAAGTGTTTGCTAACACTTACAAATGTTTCTACTAGGCAGAGTGAGATGAAATAACTGCATTTGCATGCAGGGTTCTAACACTAGACAGTGAGTTGTCTGCAAGATCCTAGGTCCTGTCCTGACTCCTTGTCACAAAGTGCCATGAGTATTCATCTCAAAACATGCCCGAAAGCTCCCTTCTCTCAGACTGCATGCGGGTAGTGTGTGACCCTTCTTGGAGGACTATGTCCCTTTGCCCAAAGCCTGGGTAATTTATAGCCATGCTGTCTTTGGAGAGTGTGAGAATGCATGATGGGGCTGTCACAGTTCAGTTGCACGTGAATTCCCCCTCTTTAGACTAGCAAAGGCACCCGCTCTCAGGCTTCTGGCTCCCTTGGCCATCACCTCTGACACAGTGGAGACCTATGTCTCACTCACTTCTGACTGGGATACTTCCAAGGTGCACAGTTGTTTCCAGCTTTCACTGTGTTAGTCCCAGCAGAGACCGGCTACCCAAGCACACCTGCTTGCTTTTGCTTCTGAGATGGTTAACAGTGTGACTGCCCAGAGCTGTAGATACAACAAACTTTTTTATGTAAGGCAAGCCCATTTTATTCTCAAGGTAAAAGCACTACAGAGAAAACATTAAAAACAATAAAAGACCATACGCTTGTGCTTACCAGAGATCACTTCAACTCTAGCATGGGCTCTGGCAGGTACTTAGTCCTTCAAAGCCCACCAAACGACTGGGTGCTTGTTCTGAGCTGAGGCTGGTATGAACTTCCTGGTCACAAGTTCATAACAGCCTCTGCTCAGAACAAGCCCCCATCTTATGGGGCCTTAGTAGGCCTAGTCCTTCCAACCCTACCCTAAGGATTGGGGCCCTCCTTGGACTGGGGGTCCCTGTCCATTTGCTGAATCAGAAAGAAGTCCCTGAGCCCGTTTAAAACCAGGCTATTTGTCCAAAAGTCCTTTCTTTGTCTGAGGGTCTGTGGAGAATCCATTCTGAACTGGTCTGTGTACCTCTCCGAGGGGAGGGAGTGGCTTCAAAGGCATTACATTAGCATCCCCTTCCTACTAGAGAAGGTACATACAATGCCACAATAATACATATACAATTGCATTTTTGGTACAATGGACTCCAAAGGTATTAAACCTGATTCAGTAAGATTGAACTTTATTCAATAAAGTTCATTCAGGATATTGTGGGAAATTGTCAGTTTGTCACTGGGGCATCCTGATGTAATAATCATATTGACATTTCCTTAAAATGCATGCTTTCTTACTAACCTGACCTGACCTGACCTGAAGAAGAGTTCTGTGTAAACTCTCACCAACAGAAGTTGGCATAATACCTCACCTTCTTCTACCTTGTCTTTCACCTTCTTCTACCTTGCCTACCTTCTTATTAAGACAGTTTTCTTTGGCATGTGCAGGATGTTGTCTTATTTTTATACAGATTCATTGGTTTTGATCTCTTTCAAACAGGAACGTTGAGTATCAAATACTTCCATATTCTTATATAAAGTACCAGATAAAAATAGAAATTCTAGACCAAAGGAAATGGCCATGTTTTTGGTTCATAGGTTTATGCCTGTCTGCCCTGGATTCTCTATCTTTTAATGTCCCCCTTTTGTCTGGATGGTTATTGTCTGAATTTTTAAGAGGAGCCCCTAACTGCTGGTTTGGGTTGCCCAGTTCTAGTCAAACAGGTCTCTAAAAGGTAATTACACTAGCTGCCCTATTTGAATGGTAACAGGTGTGTGTTACATGCTGGATGTGTGAGTGCTCAGCAATGATCAGATAAACTCGAATAATTACAAATACAACATGAAAAAACATGAGTAAAGCTATATCAATTACACTCTGGATTGTAGCAATAACTTTTATTGACTTTATTTGTGTTTCGGTTTTGTGCAAGCTTGTTTTTAAATATGGTTTATATCAGTGGCATTTTAAATTTAAAATCTTATTACAATGAATAATTTGATGGAGAACTGTGCAATAATAGTTTCATTCAGTCTCTGTGCAATGAAAGAAAAAGTGTTGTATTTGCAAACAAGAAGGCAAGGTGTAGATATGCCTACATCTGTATGTACAAAAGAGAGCTTATCTTCTATATAACACGTGACTTTAATAACAAACCAAGCAACCCAGAAAACATAAATACAGAAATAACCTGTTAATCCACAGTTAGTCTGTGGAGTTTCTGTGCCTGTGAATTTCTGTTCCCACCATTGAACAGGAATGTTTTAGCTACGTTTGATTTTTCTTTTTTTTTTTTTTTAAGTATTGCAATAACTTCCCCCTCTTCCTTAGGGAGTGAGCATAGTTGAACGCCAGTATTCTCAAGATCGTACCCCATCCTGGACTGGAGTAGGATTTGTAAGAGTCCCTGAAGGGGCATATCTGGAATTCTATATCGACAATATTCCATATTCTATGGAGTATGATGTTGTGATTCGCTATGAGCCACAGGTAATTGGCCACTGTTTACATACATGTTTATCAACATTGTTACGTCGATGACGGGTTGTAGATATATTTAACAAGGCCTGAGTTTTCCTTGTGGAATGCTAGGAGCTGACTGGTGACTGCTAGAACCACTCCCAGCCAGCAGGCAAATACTGCAGGTAGGAGTCGCACTTTGAAAAAGCTAGGAAAGAACGTCTTGCATAGCAAAAATTTCTGTCTCTCTATACATTTTAATGAATGTTTATGATGCTAGAAGTTGTTTGAGACCCCGGCTCAAGCAAAGCATCCCTATTGAGGACAGTACTGAAGTCAATGCATAGGTTTAAAGCTAATCCTATGTTTAAGTGCTGTCCTGAATAGGGATGCCCATTAACACATGTTGCAAGTTCTTCCCTGAATCTGGGCCTTGAATTCTGAAATCCATGAAAAGGAGCTGTATCCTAAAAATAACTTAGAAATGCAAAAGACTTATACTGACCACTGCTGTTGTTTGCATCACAATCACAAACATTATTTATTATCTTATTATAATTGTGCTATTGAGGTGCATGATGCTTACTGGACAATTAAAATTTTTTTGACAGAGCCCTTATGGGACAGCTGAGGATACAAATTAGGCATAACACAGCAAGGACGACTAATAAACAAAGGGTGTGGAAACGATTGCTATGTGACATTAGGAGACCAATTGCACATCTCCCACAAGCAATCCATATGCTGAAATAGATTTACATAAAATATTAATGGAATAATTGTGAACACAGGAATAAATGTGAACCGTTCCAAGGAAACCTTGATCTGTTTGTGGATAGTTCCCAAACAGGACAAACCCATCAAATAAATTGTTCTGTAACCAGACCTGCGTGAACTGTATGTACTGGAGTGGAATGCCATGAATTGTGATTGTTACATGTGCGTCTTGTTAGTTCTCATTCTCATGCAGTTTTGATATCAGAAGTTTAATCACTTATCCATTGGTTAATGATGACCAATTTTTCCAGTTACCAGATCACTGGGAAAAAGCTGTTATTACTGTTTCCCGCCCAGGCAAGATTCCTACAAGTAGCCGATGTGGTAATACCGTTCCTGACGATGATAATCAGACTGTATCATTATCACCAGGCTCAAGGTCTGTATAACTATTGTATCATTCATTTTAGGATTGATAGGCTTTTTAGGATTTGGTTGCACAAGCTTCCAAACATTCATTTCAAAACTTACCATTCATTCTTAGTAAAAATCAAACAAGAAGAGGCAAAATATTATCCTGTATGTTCCATAGAGCCATCTGAAAAGATTTATTGCATTCAACATTTTAAATGAAAACCAAACGTTCTGTTTCCAATCCAGATATGTCGTCCTTCCACGCCCCGTATGTTTTGAAAAGGGACTGAATTACACTGTTCGCCTGGAGCTATCACAGTACTCCTCCTTTGATACTGAGGTGGAAAGCCCATACACACTCATTGACTCTGTAAGTGCAAGTTACTTTATGGATGTTTTTAAAGAAAAAATAAACTTAAAATACTAAGTGTTGTATTTTCCGTTTGGGGACTGCTACGTAAATCCCACTGAAGTCAATGGGGGTTTTGTTCACTTATCCATTGGCTAAATTTGGCTATACATTTACAACAGTTTCAAGCACTGTACGCATCTTCAGATTTAAAGTATGTGCCCTGTTTGGTTTCTTTTCTGATATGCGTTCTTTGCTGTATATTACAGGATCACTAACATGTTAAGTGCTGAACTGCTAAAGTTTGTATCTTTGGAGAGGCTTATTTATACAAGTGAGGCAGACACATCTTGAATATCAAACCTGATCTTCCATATTTTCCATAAAATATTAGTTTTGTGGATGCTAGACATTTTTCTATGAAAATGAACAAGATCTTGTTGTTGTTGCTGGGTTTTTTGTTTTTCTTTTACTTTAAAAAGCCAGCGTAATAAGAAACAAAGTAATATTTAGTTTAGACAAAAATGGACTGCAACATTATAAATGGTAACGTTTTGTCATTTTATAATTGTTTCATAGCTCGTTCTTATGCCTTACTGCAAATCGCTGGACATCTTCACAGTGGGGGGCTCAGGCGAAGATGTGGTCACTAACAGTGCTTGGGAAACATTTCAAAGATATCGATGTCTGGAAAACAGCAGGAGTGTTGTGAAAACCCCTATGACTGACGTCTGCAAGAATATTATTTTTAGCATCTCTGCACTGTTACATGAGACCGCATTATGTATGTACAACTTAATTGGCTTGCAGAGTAAATCACAATTTTCCAGTTGTTAGTGTTGTTGCCAAGATGTGGGTGGGAGGTGTGGGTGTATGTGTGGAGAGATGCTGCTCAAACCTGTTTTATGAGCTGTGGTGTTCTCTTTTCCAAATTCTGTCCTCTTTTCACTATTCAGCTTGCCAGTGCAACCCTCAAGGCTCATTAAGTTCCGTGTGTGACTCTAATGGAGGACAGTGTCAGTGTCGTCCTAATGTTGTTGGAAGAAGATGTGACAGATGTACTCCTGGCACCTTTGGGTTTGGACCTAATGGATGCAAATGTACGTTTAATCCATAATCTCCGCATATTCATTCTAGTTAGGCAATGGCAGATCGAATAATGGGGAATATTGGTATCTAACACTTTCTAACAAGATATTCTTTAAGGTACTGTTGTTCTCTGGATCTAAGTATAACCTAGGAAATCCAGTTTAAAGTCTCCACTCTGTCGAATCTTTATATTCTAATACAATGGTAGGGTCTGGTTTTTCAGCCTTTACTGGGGCAAAACTCTCATTAGCTTTTGTGGGAGCGCTACTGGGTAATGACTGCAGAGCCAGGTCCAGAGGCTGCAGCTGCATAAATGGAAGAAGAGAAGTTTTCCAACTATCATTTTTTTTAACTGCATTTTTATTTTATTTTATTTTATTTAGCTTGTGAATGTCACTTACAAGGTTCTGTCAGTTCCTTCTGTCATCCTGAGACGGGCCAGTGCTACTGTTTCCATGGAGTGTATGGCCGTCAGTGTGATAGGTGCTTACCTGGATACTGGGGATTTCCAAACTGTCAGCCTTGCCAGTGTAATGGCCACACGGATGACTGTGACCCATACACTGGGGAATGTTTGAATTGCCGCGATTCTACCATGGGACACAACTGTGAAAGGTATGGTCTCTTCTTATAGCTGATTTACTGGTACATTATTATACGTTGTAAGCAATATCCACTGAACCTCCCCAGGCAAAGCTAACACCCAGTCCTAAAGTCATTACTCAAGTAAGTCCCATTGAAGTCGGTGAAATTAGCATGATCAAGCACAAAACCCTGATTCTGCACTGAGGTGCCCCACCCTTATTACCGGACAGGGAACCTGTGTCTCCTGTTTATAAAGGAGAAGTGGCCCCTATGTAAATATCACATGTCCATCTTACTTGGATTTCAGCACAGAGAAATAGGAATAAATAGAAATGTCTTGGTCTGCCAAACTGGACCACCTGGGTTCAGGACAAGTCTAAAGGCTTGTTTGGGGGGGTGGGGGGAGCTGTCTTGAAAGTGACAGTGTCCATTTATAGGAAGAGGGCCAGCTCTCACTGCAAAAATTCCTCTCATAGTGTCCACTTTGTAGTGGCAGCTGTGCAGTGGAGAGCAAGGCAGAAATTTTGAGGAGATGAACAAACCCAGGATTGTTTCAGACACCTAGATTATCACTTACTTTTAATGAGGGCAAAATGGCAGGACCCATTTTCTTCTGTCCCCAGCAAAAGAGCAATGAATATATGTTAAAAAATGCCACTGTTGGTGAGAATATGTACAGCTGAAAGAGCTACAGAGATGAAAAGTCTGTGTAGAGTTATCACAACTAGCGGCCAAACCTTGGGCCCTAGTGCAGAATTGGCCAGAGCTGCATGGACTCTGGCCGGTTTGCAGCCATGGAGACCAAAGCAGATTCTGAAGGGAAGAGGTGAACCCCATCCTCTGTAAGCAGCTGCTGGGCACCTGTGTGGCCTCTTATCTTTGCTCCAGGCCCAGGGGCACCCATTTGAGCAAAGAGTGTGTGTTGAGGAGGCATGAAACTGATTTCTCTATATAAATGTACCTAAACACCTACCAGAGGAGGTTTTAAAGTGTGATGATCAGAGGTAAGACATAGCATTTGAGATGGAATGGTTTGGTTTGGCATGGCATATTACTTGTAATGCTAGTATGAGCCAAAGAAAACATCTTTACAGTAGTGTTATTCATACTGTGAATAACAATTGGAGACCTATAAAAGATGTCTGTCTCCCTCATCCCTCCAGTCATTGAAAACCATTCTAGTGTGATTTCACATCAGAAGAAATAGTTTGTACTGTATCTGCTTGCGGTCTCACAAGCCTTTATTTAATACAGGTGCCTTGGTGGCTATTATGGAGACCCTGTCCTGGGATCAGGAGATCATTGTCGGCCTTGTCCTTGCCCAGATGGCCCAGAAAGTGGGCGTCAGTTTGCCAGCAGCTGTTATCAAGATCCTATTACTCTGCAAATTGTGTGTGTCTGTAATGTGGGATACATAGGTAAGTACCATGTGCTTTAAAGTGCATCTACTGAGTTTTAATCTGGCTACAGAGAGGGACTATGTAGAGCAGGGGTGGGCAAACTTTTTGGCCTGAGGGCCACATCTGGGTATGGAAATTGTGGGTATGGGGTGCAGGAGGGTGCTCTGGGCTGGGACCGAGGGGTTCGGAAGGCAGGAGGGGGATCAGGGCTGGAGCAGGGTTTTGGGGCACAGGAGGGAGTCAGGGTGGCAGGTTCCGGGTGGCGCTTACCTCAAACAATTCCCAGAAACAGCGGTATGTCCCCCCTCCAGCTCCTACATGGAGGCGCGGTCAGGCAGCTCTGTGCACTGCCCTGTCCGCAGGTGCCGCCCCTGCAGCTCCCATTGGCTGCGGTTCCTGGCCAATGGGAGCTGCGGGGGGCAGCGCTTGTGGTGGGGGCAGTGTGTGGAGCCCCCTGGCTGCTCCTACTTGTAGGAGCCAGAGCGGGGACGTGTCGCTGCTTCCGGGAGCCATGCACCCCGACCCTGCTCCCCAGCTGAAGTGCTGGAGCAGGGCAAGCCCCAGACCCAGACCCCACTTCCCAGCAGGAGCTCAAGGGCCAGATTAAAACGTCTGGAGGGCCGGATGTGGCCCCCGTGCCATAGACTGCCCACTTGTGACGTAGAGGGAAGTAGAAAGCACCAGCATAAGCACTGGCAGAAATTACTGTAGTACCAGTATTTGTAAGTGTTGTAGTCTTTATTTACAAATTAAGGGCCAATCTCTGGCAAGCAATGCATGTAAGCATTCACTGGAAAATCAGTGGGAGTGAGAGAAGTTACCCACCCCTATTATTCCTATATCTGCCAAATCTCTACACCTAGTGTTTGTTGTTCAGCTTAATTTAAATTGTAAGCACCTTAAGAGCAAGTCTTTGATTTTATGCATCTATGAAGCACCATGTACCCCTGTAGCAATATATAAATAATGAAGTTATAAGAACCACTCCCAGCCAGCAGGCAAATACTGCAGGTAGGAGTGGCACTTTGAAAAAGCTAGGAAAGAACGTCTTGCATAGCAAAAATTTCTGTCTCTCTATACATTTTAATGAATGTTTATGATGCTAGAAGTTGTTTGAGTCCCCAGCTCAAGCAAAGCATCCCTATTGAGGACAGTACTGAAGTCAATGCATAGGTTTAAAGCTAATCCTATGTTTAAGTGCTGTCCTGAATAGGGATGCCCATTAACACATGTTGCAAGTTCTTCCCTGAATCTGGGCCTTGAATTCTGAAATCCATGAAAAGGAGCTGTATCCTACCCTGCTATAAGTTGTCTCAGTTCCATTGAAATCAATGGATCTACTCAACTTAGATTTGCTGAGGATCCAGACAAGTATTGTATTTTGCTTCTCTGAATATATTCAACTCAATTTCCTTTCAACAACTCACCTTCAATCTCTTGTCACACTGTCTTGCTGTTTATTGACTTGTTTGTTAACGAGCTATAATAATAATTCCTTGGATTGTTTGTTTAAACAGGAAGCAGATGTGATGAGTGTGCTTCTGGTTTCTTTGGAGACCCTGAAGAGACAAGTGGAGTCTGCCAGCCGTGCCAGTGTAACAACAACATTGACATGACTGATCCAGGGGCCTGTGACAAGCAGTCTGGAAAGTGCCTGAAGTGCTTGTATCAGACAGAGGGTGAAAATTGCCAGCTGTGTAAATATGGGTACTATGGACATGCATTGCAACAGGATTGTAGAAGTAAGTGGGGGGAGGGGTCTTCCCATTCCTCACTTCTATAGCACTGGCCAGAATTCATTTACCTGCACTAAACTCTAGAATATCATTACGCGTAATAAACCGTGAAGCTGTTGATTTTGCAGGTGGCCTCAGGACATTAATGGAGAATGGCAGATAACCTAAAGTATTTTAAATTTACCAGGAGCCATTTCTGATTAAACTGATGGTAGAAACCTAATTACCTCTGGCTAAACATTGGGTTTGCAGCTTTTCGTGTGTTCAGTGTGATTCTTCAGGGGGCAGGAGTCGTTTAGTGTAACGGGGAGAGACGAGACACCTAGCATTTACGTGCCCAAACATCTGAAAGGATGGGCTCTTGTGGGATAAGGATTTCTTGCCTTCTTGTTAGCATTCATTGTTTCCCTCTTATCAAGAGATGGAGCATGGCCATTTCCTGCTGCTTCTTAAGCCCTGAAGACATGGCTTTTGTTTACACAAACATTCCTGGGATGTTAAAGAACAGCAGGAGCGGGTTCCTGAAAGCTCAGCAGGAAGGGCTGCCTCAGGGAATGATAAGTGTTAAGTGGGGTTATAGTCACATAATGGTGTGTTGTTCTGTGTTTTTTAAAAAGGGAATCTCTTACTCCAGAATGCTACTCTGTGCTTATCCAGAAAGTTAGTCAGAAAAAAGTGGTTTTTTTTTTCTTTTTTTACTATTTCTATTAGCAGAGCAAACATCTCCTGGAGGGAGGGAGGGAAGGAGCTGAGTTCTATTGTGGGTCACATACCATCCCCCGAATTTTTAGAGATCTGTGTTGCAAAGTCTCTGTTTCTGGTGGTTATGTGGGAACCAGAAAGAATCCAGCCTGACTTGCAGATCCCAGGGTGTGTTTGCAGGGTTGGCACTTGGAAACTAATAATCTCTTTCACTTTGTAAAGAGAGCACATTTATATGGAAAACAATTAACCTGGAACCCCATGGTGTTCCCCTTCTTACAAAATTCACTTTTCAGAGTATAACTGTGCTTTAAAGACTCCCTGTATCTGCTTATTATATGTAGTCCTAGTCCTGCAAGATGTTAGGAATCCTCAAGTCACCTACTGTGCATATTACAGGAGCACTTCACAAGATTAAGCCTTAGTTACACGATTGCTCAAATTAACTTGGAAACCAATGTAGCAATACTCTGAGATCTGTCTGCATCTTTGCAAGGTTAATAACTTGCAGCATAAGTTCTGAAAAATTAATAGAGGCATTTGAATGAGAAGGCAGTTTACCATACTGGGTATTTATACTGCACTTGTCACCATGGCACATGTACCCAGACAGGCTTTAAAGGATGCTTCATTAGGCTTTTCCTCCCAAACCATCTGTTTTCTAAGGCTGTGTCTACACTACACAGCTTTTAGAGACAGGGCTGTGTCGCTGTAGCCGTGCTGCTAAAAGTTGTGCAGCGTAGCTGCTGTTTGTCAGCTCTCCTGCCAACAAAGAACTTCCACCTCCAACGAGCGGCGGTTTTGCTCTTCTGCTGACAACGCACTGTTCACACTGGCACTTGTTGCAGCAAAACTTTTGTCTTTCGGGGAAGTGGGGGGTTTAACACCTCCTTAAAGACAAGTTTTGTCATTCAATTGCCAGTGTAGACATAGCCTAAGTAACTTACAATGTCAGGACATGCCGGTAGGGATGTCTGTGTAACTTTCCCCATTTGAATAGGATCACATCTCCCTGGAAACCATCTCCTCTTTTGGTAATACATCAGTAACCGACATTTAGGTTTGGACTCAATTTAATGTGGTGTTGTGCTAGCATAGCAGAGTTAGGCTGCCTGCTCTTCCATTACAGAGTGCGTCTGTAATTACTTGGGAACAGTGCGAGAGCACTGCAATAGCTCAGAAGACTGTCAGTGTGAGAAAACAACCGGTCAGTGCCAATGCCTTCCCAATGTGACCGGGCAGAACTGCGATCGCTGTGCACCAAACACTTGGAGACTGGCCAGTGGAACTGGATGTGAACTGTGCGAGTGCGATGTTGCTCGTTCCTTCGAGCCATCATGTAATGAGGTAAGAAATGCATAGGGCCTCATTAGTCTTATCCAGCAAAATACTCCTCTGCATAGTTATTGGCTGTATTCATAGGAAAGCTGCACAATGGCTCAGTAAATCAGATTGCAAATGTTGCCTTCCAGAAGAGAAGGTAACGTTCTCAGTAGGCTGTATGACTTCTAGGGCTGTGGGAAAGTCATGGCAAAAATGGCAGTTCAGGGACAAACACCAGAGGAATTTAAAGACGGCACAGGCATTGTCTCTATGCCCCAAATAATATTTCTTTCCCCAGTGCACACATGACAAGAAAGGCTGGGTTGTCAGAAGTGCTGAGCACCCCAACTCTTATTTTTAAAGTCGAGGGGCACTGTAGGGCCCCGGCAATCATGAAAATTTGGCTCTAGTCATTCAGTTCTAAAGATTATGTTCTGCTAGATAGTCCACACTGGGGTGAGCTTTTTAGGATTGGGTCCAGAGAGATAGGAAGCATCACAATTTTCTTAAATTGTTTTTATCGTCAGCTTCAGTCTGTGTCCAGCCGTGTTGCTTTCTGTTAGTGAGCTCGGCTGCTGAGTCTTTGTCAATATATGAAGAGATCAAAATAACACTACCTGAGCATGTTCCCAACAAGCTGCTGGGAATAGCTCCAAGAGCTTTGCTGGTGATGTTCCCTTCCATACAGGAAAACCAATTCACTTTCTGTTCTACTCCTATTTTTAACAGTTCACTGGGCAGTGTCAGTGCATGCCTGGGTTTGGAGGCCGCACCTGCAGGGAGTGCCAAGAGTTTTTCTGGGGTGACCCCAATGTGGCATGCCAAGGTGAGTCTAATTTCCCTGCCCTCTATTCCCTTGCTGTGTTCTGAATTGCCCGTGTACACTTTCAGTGATTGGAACCCTTAAAACATCTATTCACCTTCTTTTAAAGGGGTCCTCCTGACCAGTTCGTGTAAAAGTTGTTTATGTTGCCCTGAATGTTGCAAGCTCTGTTCTGGTTCTCCAGAGCGATGTTGACCACTTTAATGAAGTTTGTTCACATTGAAGGAAACAAAAGTGCATTCATTTCAGCAGCTCCATATGTTCATATATGCCATGGCAGTGGGTATGCTTTTTGCATACAAAAAGAAGAGATCAGCAGGGGAAAATATGTCAAGTAGTTAAGGCATTATAAACAAGAGTAAGGTTTTCTTACAGTCTTTGGCAGCACCTTTCTTAATGTTGTGATGTTTGCATCATAATGGTTTAAAGAAACATGTCCATGTTTGGTTACACTGGCATGCTGTTTTAGTAAGGATGGGCAGACCCAATGCAATTCTAGCAGGAGTCTGGTGTACAAGGTAGATTTGTGTAGGGAATAAGTAATAAAGGGATAGATAATAGGACAGAAAATATCATGTTGCCTCTATATAAATCCATGGTACGCCCACATCTTGAATACTGTGTGCAGATGTGATCGCCCCAGCTCAAAAAATATGTATTGGAATTGGGCCTGGTCTACACTAGGACTTTAATTCGGATTTAGCTGCCTTAATCCGAATTAACCCTTCACCCGTCCACACTACAGAGCCAGTTAATTCGAATTAAAGGGCCCTTTAAATCGATTTCTGTACTCCACCTCGACGAACGGAGTAGAGCCTAAATCGATTTTGTTAATTCGAATTAGGGTTAGTGTGGACGCACACCACCGAATTACTGTGTTTAAGTTAATGGGGTAGTGTGGCCGCACACCACCGAATTAATGTGGTTTAAAACCGAATTAAGGTGCTTAGTGTGGCCGCGCACAATCGAATTTATACAACCTGTTTCCCAAATTCGAATTATCTAAATTCGGATTAATCCTGTAGTGTAGACATACCCTTGGAAAAGGTTCAGAAAAGTGCAACAAAAATTATTAGGGATATGGAACGGCTTCCGTATGAGGAGAGATTAATAAGACTGGGACTTTTCAGCTTGGAAAAGAGACGGCTAAGGGGAGATATGATTGAGGTCTATAAAATCATGACTGGTGTAGAGAAAGTAGATTAGGAAGTGTTGTTTACTACTTCTCATAACACAAGAACTAGGGGTCACCAAATGAAATTAATAGGCAGCAAGTTTAAAACAAATAAAAGGAAGTATTTCTTCACACAATGCACAGTCAACCTGTGGAACTCCTTGCCAGAGGATGTTGTGAAGGCCAAGACCATAACAGGGTTCAAAACAGAACTAGATAAATTCATGGAGGATAGGTCCATCAATGGCTATTAGCCAGGATGGGCAGGAATGGTGTCCCTAGCCTCTGTTTGCCAAAAGCTGGGAATGGGCAACAGGGGATGGATCACTTGATGATTACCTCTTCTGTTCATTCCCTCTGGGGCACCTGGCACTGGCCACTGTCGGAAGACAGGATACTGGGCTAGATGGACCTTTGGTCTGACCCAGTAGGGCCATTCTTATGTTGTTAAGAACTGGTCTTTATTTAGAAATAAACCTATTTAATTAGGATTAAACTATTGCTTAACCTTTATACTATAGCAATTTGTCCAAATTGTCAAGCAACTATTGTGGCAAGAGGACATCTTAAAGTAGCAGGATTTATGGGCTTATATTACCAAGTTTTGTTGCCAAAAACTGCCTTTTGGCGACAAAACAGCAAGAGCATACACGCTACAGTGGGACTTTTGTCACGAGAAACACCCAGTTTTGGCAACAACAAACTTCCACCCCTCCGAGAGACTGTTGTCTTTTCCCCTCCCTTTACTGTCGACAAAGAGCCAGTGTAGACATGCGCCCCTACCCTTTCAAAGCTCTGGGAAGTATCTGTGTGCTGCTCCGTTTGGGGAACAAACAAAGAGCAAATCATTGGAATGCTCCTGTTCTGCCGGGCACTAGGAACACAGCGGCAGGCACACTGCTGCTGCAGGGGGAGGGGGACAGACTGCTGTGTTGCTTTGCCATTCCTCAGCACGGAGAGCTCACAGAGCTACTCATGATGCTGCTCTCGGAGCTGAGGGGGTTGTGGGAGAACTCGGAGAGAATCCCAAGATGCGCAGCAATCGGCTCTTCTTTCCCACAAAACTGGACTGTGGGATACATACCCACGTGATGATGGTGTCCCCAATGGTGACATGATCTATTGACAGAGGGAGCAAGTGTGAACACACTTTGGCGATTTTTGTTGTGTTGACTTTTGGGTGTCGACACAAGTTTTGTCAACAAAACTTGGTAGTGTAGACAAGCCCTTAGTGTATTGGAGTTTTCTGTCTCTATACATCCTCTTATGTTACTTAGGCCATGTCTACACTAACAAGCTTGCAGTAGCACAGCTGTACCGCTGTAAGATGGCTCGTGTAGCCGTGTTATGCCGACGGGAGAGAAACTAGCTCAATGGGCAGCAGTAGCTATGTTGGTGGGAGAGCATCTTCCCCCGACATAGCATTGTGCACACGAGTGCTTATGCCGACAAAACTTATGCCGGTCACACCCCTGAGCGACAAAAGTTAGCACTTATGTTGGCAAAATGTAGACATGGCCTTAGACTATGTTTGAAGGAATTTTACCGAATACGTAAGATATTTAATCTTTTAGCAAAAGATTATTCTCTTTGTTTCAAGCTACATAAAGGCACAATGCACTTAGCTAGTCAGACAGTATGCTGATGATACGTCTGTTAGTCTATAAGGTGCCAGAGGACTCTTTGTTGCTTTTTACAGATCCAGAATAACACGGCTACCCCTCTGATACTTAGTCAGACAGTATTCTCCAATCAGCAAAATACCAGAACCAGATTAAGTGGATTGTTTAGAAAACTGAGTTGTGTGTCACTCTGTTATAAGCAAGTCTGTTAATTTAATAGGGGAAAGAAACTTCAGACATTGTCCAGACCAGAACAAACTTGTGTCTGTGATCTGTTTAAATGGGAGACTTGGCCAGGAGGGTTTGCAGCAGCCTCCTAGATTAGATTAAGGTATGTTTCCTGCAGGGAAAAATGTACTTGCTGTGATCTTTTAATAAATCCTTTTCAACTGATCTTCCTTGGAATCCCCTACCTAAACAGATGTGGGTGTCTCAGCTATTCAGGAACTGGTTAGGGATAAAGATAAAACACTCTTGAAGTTACTTGGTGGTAGGGCATGTATTAGATTTCTTCTGAGCAAACTAGCATATTAATTGCTTTCCCCAGGGCTGCATGTGTTCCTCTGGTTAAATGCTGCTGACTGTGCCTTCAATCTCATAATGCTTCAGGGCAGTGATTGTCTCCTGATATCAGCTCTCTCCATCAAAGCTGGTTGATGGAATCCATCAGTACATGTTATCAGCAAGACTTGGCTGTGTGCCAGCATTTCTGACCTTTTACTTGGTTTCTGCTCTCTCTTGAACAGGGGAAAACCTGCTTTATAATGACTCTAAAATGAAAAAGCAATAATGTATTATTCAGAAAACCTTTTTTCAAGGTAGCTTTAAACTTTCTATTCATCTAATAACCCCACCCCCTCTATTTTATAGCAACACAGCAGACTTGCTTAGCTATAAAATTTCATCTTCCTTGGGGTCGCATCTAGCAGAAAGCATCCATGCTTTTGTGAGCCACATAGCCTTTGAAAAGCCATAGATACCAGCTCATCAGTATGCAGGGGTTGGTCCAACCTGGTTTGGATGACCCAACCTTATGTGCCAAAGAACTCCAGAGAATTCAGCTGCTCCCTGTCCCATGGGCCGATCTGTAGTAACTTGCTCTATGACCCCAAGAGGTCGTGATGTAGAAATATCAGCCTGCCCATGGGCTTTTTCTAGTTATCTTGCATGCTGCGAATACCTGGGACTGAGAAAGGAGAACCCTGCCTCCCCACTCCACTCCATTGGGCAGGTGCCAAGGTTGGTTTCAGTTCCACTCTGTCCTTTTATTGACCAAGTGCCTAAATGGTTAAAGTTTACTAGGCTCTACTAGGGCTTGGAATGTGATACAAACCTGGTCTGAGTTTTTTGAATTTGTAACAAATGCCTAAACCACGGGAGTGTTGTGTGGTGATGGAATTCATTGCTTGCATTTTGCAAGTGCTGAGAGAGGGGCGTTTGGCCTGGGGCATAAGAACTGCCATACTGGGTCAGACCAATAGTCCATCTAGCCCAGTATCCTGTCTTCTGATAGTGACCAATGCCAGGTGCTTCAGATGGAATAAACAGAACAGGGCAATCATCAAGTGATCCATCCCCGTCTCCACACCCAGTTTCTGACAAACAAAGGGTAGGAACAATCAAAGAGTGGGGTTGCATCCCTGACCATCCTGGCTAATAGCCTTTAATGGACCTATCCACCATGAACTTATCTAGTTCTTTTTTTGAACCCTGTTTTAGTTTTGGCTTTAACAACATTCCCTGGCTATGAGTTCCACAGGTTCACTGTCTGTTGTGTGAAGAAGTATTTCCTTTTGTTTGTTTTAAACTTGTTGCCTATTAATTTCATTGTCTGACCCCTAGTTCTTGTGTTATGTGAAGGAGTAAATAACACTTCCTTATTTACTTTCTCCACACCAGTCAAGATTTTATAGACCTCTATCATATCCCCTTTTAGTCCATCTCTTTTCCAAACTGAAAAGTCCCAGTATTTTTAATCTCTCCTCATACAGAAGCTGTTCATTTTTGTTGCCCTTCTCTGTACCTTTTCCAATTTTTTTTTTTTGAGATGAGCAACCAGATCTACATGTAGTATTCAAGGTGTGGGCATACCATGGATTTATATAGAGGCATTCATGATATTTTCTGTCTTTATTATCGAACCCTTTTCTAATGGTTCCTAACATTGTTAGCTTTTTTGACTGCCGCTGCACATTGAGTGGATGTTT